AGATGCAGACATGATATCCTATTTATAAACACCTTTAGAACAAATCCCTCTATTCATTAAGAGAATGTAACTATATATCTATTCTAACCATTTTGAATACACAGATTCAAAATGGACATTCATTTATATATCCCCTTTTTTGTTTAGTTCCGTCATTTGAATATTATAAGTGTGTTAGCTCAGCAAAATATTCTAAAAGAGACCAGTAGTCCATAATAGTATTGGGCATTCTGCTTGACTGGCAATGTCAGAAATTGTTGACCTGAGTCCCCTACAGCTCAACAGTTTACACAACTCTTATTCTCAACAATTGAACCCTGGATGACTGCTGTGTGAGAACTAACTATGTAAAACACGATTGCTTGTAACAACAAGCATCTCCCAGGAATAGTTTTCAACTGGATAGCTTTTCAGATTCACAGCCTCAAATAAAAAAGTGGAACCACAGTGTGGGATTGTGAGAAAAACGAAAACTCTATTTTAAGGTCCTTCGTGGATGTTATTGTGAAGATTGCTGAAATTACAGTGTACTATTTCAAGAAGATAGGGCAAGGGGGAAAAAGAAAGAAGGGAAAAAGAAATATATATGTATGTACACAGGATACCTTGGATAACTGCGACTAATTCCTGCTGGTATATTGAAAGGAGCAGTTAATGCTTAATTTTTTGTTTAGCCTTTTTAATTTTTATTCTTTTAACCAATTTTGCATGCTTATATCTGATAATCTGAACAACTAATTTGAAGACAATATGCAGTATAACAACCATTGGTGAGGTCCTATCATTTTGGGATTTTTTTTGTTTGTTGGTTGCTTTTGTTTGTTTGTTTGGGGTTTTTGTTTGTTTTGTTTTGGTTTGGTTTGTTTTTTTTTTTTTTTTGCATTTTTAGGGAAGGATCTACAGGGTGTCCAGGGTCTCACTACTAAACAGTACGCGTAGTGATCTGCCTGTTTACAGCCTCCCAAGAGCTGGCATTACAGGCACGTGCCACAGTGCCCAGTCTCCATTGCCATCTCAGCATGTCCTGGGGGTGGGGCCAGTACAGCAGGCCCAGGCATCGAACCCTCACCCCTGCCCCTGCTTGCAGGCGCTTAAATCCACTGAACTATTTGGCCCACCCCAGTCCTATCATTTTGTTTAGTGAAATTTTGTATCGTTTCTTTTCTTTTTTTTTTTTGTTCCAAATGCCTTCAGGGCAGGTTTGGCTGGCTTGAGTTGGGGGGATTGAACCACAGCAAGCTGAGTCTGACTGCTCTGTTGAAGCAGCCACTTAAAGAACTGAGTTAAGGGGCAGGCCCCTTTGTATTGTTTCTAATGAGGTTTTTTACTATTATTTTTATTCTATTTAAAAAAATAAAAAATTTAAAGAAGTTAAATAAAATGGATTTTCCCAGACTGTGCATGTTGAGTAGATTTATACATCAGAATTGATCCACCTTGGTTCTTCTCTCATAAATCATCTTATAGTTTGGCATAGAGAAGACTGAACGGATTTATGATGATATGCCTGATATGGAGAAAATTGCAAATGTTCTACAGGACTATCTGGATGACTACAACCTTATAAACCCAAAAGAAGTAAAGTTGGTGTTCTTCCAGGATGCCATAGAACATGTGTCAAGGTAAAGTTCTTTAAGTGTCCACTAGACTGCTAAATGGACTAGAATGTTAGCAATGTTCAGTACACTTAAGGAGACATTTTAAATATATATGGTGTGAACTTTCTATGGAATCACCAGAGTTATTTTTGCTAAATATTAAAAGATTTGTTTTGTTTTTGTGTTGTCCTGTCTTGTCACAAAGAGGCTCTGAGATGATTTGCAAAGATATGTATGCCTTGGGGCCAACAAGGTAGCTCAGCACCTGCTTAGGCAAGCTTAGGCAAGCACAGGGACTATGGTTCGATCCCCGGCACCACATGCTGTGCCAGCCCCCACTCCCCAGGGCAAGATAAGCCAGCCAGAGTCCTGGAGTGGTGGCGCACACCTGTAATCTCAGCCCTGAGGAGGCTGAAAATAGGATCACCATGAGTCCAAGTGCATAGTGAGACCCTGCAACAACTAAATACATAAAAAGATATATATGCCTTATAAGATTAATGATATGCATGCCTAAAGAAAGAAGTCCAAGATTATAGCAAACAAGTTGAATCCTGATCATAAAATCTGCTTGATTCTGAATCTGTCTCCTCCCTACTGCCAGTACCCTTTAGGAATGGCCCTGATACATGGACATACACTGTCAATATTCACAGTCCTTGGGGTGCACATCACCTCATGAAATGGTTTGAATTCTGTTGGGCAATTCTCCATGTTGAAATGACCCTTCTGGCACAAGCCATCTGCTGTCCTGTGATTTCTGACATCAGTTCCATCTTATGCAGCAGGAATAATAATGACATTCAGTGTGCATATAAAATCATGATTTAGAGCATCTCGTTTAGCTGTCATCATATCCCTCTTATCTCAATATCATAATCTCCTCGCAAGTAAGGCTCAGAGAATGTTCTAGTGCTTTTTAGCCACTCCAGCATAAACTGGCTTCACTTTTATCATCACTTCTCATTGTTCTGGAAAGACCTTTCTTGAGGTTTCTCTTCAGTTACACTTGGCAGCATCTGGAAGACCTGAATCATCTTTGCCTCCACGTTGTCTTTCTACATGTCTCTCCATGGGAATTTCAGGGTGTCTGGGCTTCCTATGTGGTGACCCGGGGCTCCAAAGGCAAGTGCTCTAAGACAGAACAGCAAGCAGGGGCCGGGAGATAGCTCAGAAGAATAAGTGCTTGCCTGGCAAGCACAAGGGGCTTCATCCCCAGTTCTGGAAAAAAAAAAAAAAAGAACAGCAAGCAGAAGCCAAGTGACCCTTGTGGCTTTGCCTTGGAAATCACCTATCATCAATTCCACCGTACACTTTCAGTCAAAGCAGTCATACATGTCTACCCTCATTCAAAGAAGAAAACAGACACTCTGTCACATAGGACATCCAAGAGAAAGTGAGATTAGAAACATCATAGTAGCCATTTCTTTCACAGAGAGATGAAGAAAATTCTCCAGAATCTTCCAATGAGCAAGTGGCAGACTGAGGAATCATGTTCAGAGCTAATTACACTTCAGGTCTCCCCACCCAAAACAGGCCTGCTCATTTTCATAACAACATGAAAATATCTGAAAATCATTCCCATACTTCTCTTAGCTTTATTTCTCCAGGCAAAATCATCCCAGCTCTTTGAAGCAATCCATTAAAATGTATTTCTAGCCTTCAACATCCTTAATATTTCATAACTTTTTGCTGTTCCTCTTAAAAGGTGGTAATCAGATTTCATGCCGTAGTCTATGGAATAAACAGTGTACAATATGAGTGTGAATGGAATTTCCCATGATCCCCACTACTGCAGCAAGGTTTATTGGTTTTTCTTTGCCTATGTCAACTACATTTTAATATAGCTCCTTGTTAAGACGGATGATTAAATTCCCATAATTGTTTCACAAAACCATAAGCAAATAAACTCCACCTATTCCACATCTCTGCTCTTTAATTAACTCTAATTCAGAAGTTATGTTTGTCACAGCTTGCATTACAAGATGTGATCATTTGTCATTAGGCTGTCATGATATCGTTTGCTTTCCATCTGTCCCCCTGCCAGCATATCCAGACATTATCCCACAACAACTTCTATTTCCATAGTTTAGGAAGTGTTAAGCCTATTTTTACAAAGGGAGAAACAAAACAGTAATAACGGTTGCCCCCTGGTCTGAGAGACTTTCTGGCAACAGACCAAATACTAGACAAATCCGGCTTAATTGTATTCACAATCATTCTTACTTTTGTGAAAGACTTACTAGGAAATTAGGTTTGTTTAAAATATTAAAAGAGGAAATTAAAAACCGATTGTAGAATGGTGGAGATTCGGTTCTTCCGACACCCAAAGGACCACCATGCAAAAACAATGCAGATGCGTTGCCTTTTTTTTCTAGAAAAGATCAGTAGTTTGGAATCAGAAGAAACATATTTTTACTTCTAAGAGCTCTTACATACTGCTGATTACCAGTGACAAGGGTTTCATTATGAGCATGAGTTATGATCAGTAATTTAGCTCGTGCAACGTGGCCATTTTCGGAAACATTTTAGTTGGTTTGGTTTTTTGTTTGCTTGCTCATTTGTTTGTTTTGGTTTGGCTTTTTCTGTTTGCTTGTTTTTAGCATAGGTAAATAGGTTAGTCTTCCCAAGCCAGGGGAAAAGTTTGCTTCAGGGCCTATGCTTTCAAAGTGAAATGCACCAGGCATTGCTTACCTATCACGTGCCCAAAGTTATCTCATGTTACAAGGATGGGTGAGTGGTTCGCTTCCTTAAGATACAAGCCACCAATCCCCTGCCCACTACATTACATAGAATGTAGTTTGTGTACTATAGACGAGTCATTTGTTTTCATTAATATCAGATAAAAGAAATAAAACTGCAGTAAAGAGATACACAAAATGAGGAAAGCATGGCATGTGTAAAGAGAGAGATTTTTGTATCCGTCATCTTATCCACTTTACTTAGGGTCTGAAGAGAAATGAGCGCATTGCTGCACCTCCATTAGATGTGTACCATAACAGACGTAGCAGTGAAAGCCACAGCTCTGGGTCTTCCTTGTTCTAGGAAAAGAGTTGGAACACATTCTGGGGAAGGAGTTGACATTTTCTGTCTGTACAGAGCCAGACAGAAAATATTCTAGAGTCTGTGAGCCAGACAGTTCCAGACAATGACAAATGAGCCTGGCTATGCTTCAGTAATACTTCATAGGTGCTAGTATTTGAATTTCACATGGCTTTCACAAATCATGAAATGTTATGCCTCTTTTGATTTTTTTTTTTGCCTTTTTTTTTTTTAATTTAAAAGCATCTTTAGTACATAAGCCACAAAATACACAGGGACACACACTCACAGTTGGATTTGATCCACAAGTCATAATTTGGTGACTCTGTCCTGGATGGATAGGTGGTAT